TGATCTTTTGAGGTCCCTTCCAGCCCCTGAAATTCTGTGATTCTGTGATGCCCTTTTCCTTCCTGTCTGAGTGGGGAGAAGGAGGAGGTCAGAGAGCGTCTGTCGGTGTTTAGTGGCTGGCTCAGCCCTAACCCATGACACTAAGTTTGTTTATTCAACAGTATAAAGGCTGGACCCTCTTGCAGTGACTTTGCAGACCTCACCTACAAGTGGACACACTGTGTAGGACTTCCCAGTCCTTCCCAGTGGCTGGGACAGGTGCTCCAAATCCTCACTGCAACGGGGGGCTCCCCAGTGTCTGCAGATCTGGATGATTGTAAAGTATTAGGGCAATCGGTGATGTATTTTTCTTAATGACTAACACTAACCGTATATAGTAATGATTAGGTGCACTGCCCTCCTTATTCTCCTTGCTGCTTAAAACTAGAGTATAAGAAGCTTATTGTTCTAACTAAATGCATTACCTTATTCTTGTAATACCTTGAAATAGACAGTAAAATAAAGCCTATTCTGCTGCTGGTGTCTGTGTCCTTTCTGCAGACACACTCTCATCAATTAGCAAAACAATTAAATAGCATTTATTTCCGCTTTGCCATTGGCAAAAATCAAGCCTTGCTCAGACAGCATTTTCTTCACTTATCCCTTACACGGGTGATCTTATCTGAGAGATCAAACTGGCCAAAATACGTAAATCATCTGAATGCCCCATAATACCCAACAGTTTTAGTAAACTGCATTTACTTATTACACAAAGCAGCTTCCACTACAGCAAAATTCAGATGGTAAGCAACCTTCAACTGAAAACAAGCAATCTCAAGTTTTGAACAAATTTCTGTAACAGAGGAAAGTCTTAAAAAATGTTAAAGGACTGCCTTAAAGCACTGAGTGTCACACCCTATTTAAAAGTGGAAGTGTTTTTCATAGCAAATAAGCTATTGGAGATTTACACTTAAATGTGAATCAGGAAGTATTTATTGTAAGGTCATGCAGAAAGAGAACTAGAGAAGCGAAAGCTCAGTAAGAACTTAATCTGGCCTTATCTGTAAAGAATAATAAAAAGCGCTTTTATAAATACATTGATAACAAATGGTGGGTCAGGGAGAATCTCTGTTCCTTATTGGATGAGGAAGGGAACATAGTAACGGAAGACCAAGGAAAAGGCTGAGGTACTTAACACCTTCTTTGCCTCAGTCTTTACCAAAAAGACTGGCCATCCTCTGGGCAACTGGGCTCCTGAGCTGGTAGACAGGGATTGGGAGCAGAATACCCCTCCTGTAATCCAGGAGGAAGCAGTTAGTGACCAGCTGTGCCAGCTGGATCCCAACAAGTCCATGAGTCTGGATGGGATTCATCCTAGGGTGCTGAGGGAGCTGAAGGAGAACCGGCTAAGCCGCTCTCTATCATTTATCATCAATCCTGGCTAACTGGGGAGGGCACAGATGATGGGAGGTTGACCAACATGGTGCCCATCCATAAGAAGGCCCAGAAGGAGGATCCAGGCCACTACAGGCCTGTCAGCCTGACCTCGGTGCCTGGCAAGGTTATGGAGCGGATCATCCCGAGTGTCATCAAGCGGCATAGAGAAGACAACCAGGGGACCAGGCCCAGCCAACATGGATTTAGGAAAGGAAGGTCCTGCCTGACCAATCTCATCTCCTTCTATGACTGCGTTGCCTCTCTAGTGGAGGAGGGGAAGGCTGTGGATGTGGTCTACCTCGATTTCAGCAAAGCCTTTGACACAGTCTCCCACAGCATCCTCCTGGAAAAGCTGGCAGCCCACAGCTTGGACAGAGACTGGGTTAAAAACTGGCTGGATGACTGGGCCCAGAGAGCGGTGGTGAGTGGTGCTGCACCCATATCAAGTGGTGTCCCACAGGGATCATTGCTGGGGTCATTCCTATTCAACATCTTTACTGACAACCTGGGTGAGGGGACTGAGTCTACCCTTAGTAAATACACAGATGACACCAAGCTGGGGGGGAGTGTTGATCTGCCAGAAGGTAGGAATGCGCTGCAGAGGAACCTGGGTAGGCTGGGTTGATGGGCCAAAGCCAATGGTATGAAGTTCAACAGGACCAAGTGCAGGGTCCCACACTTTTGTAGAGAGATCTCCTTTCATGCTGGTAGTTACAGTGCTCTACTCATTCCTCAGAACACAGCAAAAACATGTAGTAGTAAAAGCATTAGCAAAAACATACTGATACAAGTTCTAGAGATTAAGCAATCAAGATTCCTCTCTCAAATCCAAAGAACCAATTTAAGCATACTCTGCATCTTTAAGGGAGACAGAACTGATCTCTTCCCATGATGCAGTGTGAATTAATGCCACGTTCCTGAACAAACAGTAAGCACATAGAATGAACATGAACCACACTCCTGTACAATATCGCTTAGATGCCCGATTCCCAGTTGTGCAAACAAGATCATCTTTGAGTGCAAAAATATAAGAAAAGAAGTCGTGACTGAGGAACCAATGCCACAACAGGTGACTTAAAACTAAGTTTAAAGTGAATTCAATCCTATCTAAAGGTAGACAATTCATCTCCCCATACACCTGTCAGTATTAACTGACTGTCTGGGAGAAAGCAGCCCATCCCTCTCTTTCACTCAAGACAGCCAATTACTGAAGATGTTTGCTCTCCAGAAAGATCTTTCAGGCTTTTTTGAAGGACAGAAGAAAGTATCAGGATTTGACCCACTGAAGTACCAACATTATTTCACTGAAATGGTCTGATCAACTTAAGTGCTCTCAACTTGTAATATACTTACTGGTATTTTTCAGTGATACTGTCACGACAGTATCTCTACCACAAAAGCCACCAAAACTACGTCAACTGCTCAAACTGAAGCTCAGACTCCTCTGATTTAAGAATGAGTATTCACATACCTGTCTCTTCAAAAGTGGAAATACTGAACAACTCCCATCCACCTACAGGGAATGGGATGTTTTGTTCTGTTACTCCCAAGCTTAGCAACCCCCGCTACCATCTGCTGAAGACTTTTCTCTCAGAGTCTGGAAAGTGGAATTTTAAGGATACTGAGTAGTAGAGATCTAAGATATATCCTAAACCTTTCTGTGGAAGCTTTAAAATTGCCAAAACCAAAGAGCACTTACACATGTAAATAAGAATTGTAAGTCAGAAAAGCTGGTGAGTCAAGCAATGATCAGGATACATCTGGTTAACTTATCTCCCGGTGTCAAAGAAAGCGCTACCAGCGCTGCCTGTGAAACAGCAAGCTTTTGAGCTTGATCAGATGTGGTGAAGAGGGGAGCAAGAAACAATGCAAGTTAGCACTTCTGCAAAAGTGGAATTTAAAAGCCTTCAGACAAGCTTAATATGTTGCTTTTGAATCTCCACCTAAATTAAGCAGTTAAGCTATCCAAGTTATTAGCTCTGTTTTCCAAAAAAAGGGACGCTTTCAGCAAGGAATGTTAGCTTTTCATTATCTTCTAGCAAGATTATAAGCTTTTAAACATAAGGAGTACTCTTAACTCCTCAGACATTTAGGTCTATACAAGCACATTTTTGAATATATATCTCCACTTTTACTTTACTCACCTCCGAACTTCTTCAGGAAAAGTGGCACTGAACATTAGTGTTTGACGTTTGTCTTTAGGTGGCATGCTCGAGAAAGAAACCAGCTTCTTCATATCTAACCCAAAACCCATATCAAGCATGCGGTCCGCTTCATCTAGCACCAAATATTTCACATTATGCAAACCAATCTGCAAGTATTTCAGTGAGAGAAAAACAGTATTGGTTCACTGACAACACACATTTACAGAATGTCCTAATTCCCAGAATTTACCTTTTACTTAATTCTTTCTAGTAGAAGTTGTTTGCAAATAAAAGCCTATGTTCATTATGTATTATTTGCATCTCAACCTCAAACTTTTCATCTGCGCTAATTCTAACCGTATACACTGAAGTTATTCAGAACTTGGCTCAGCAATGTAAAGCCGGTAAGATAGAGCCTAGAGACTGACTGTTATTCAGCACATCAATTTTGCAATTACATCTGAGCTGAAGAAAGGTTCTCTTATGTAACCCTGACATATTCTCAAAAATCCTTGTTCTAAAAAAACTCATCAGAAAGCATTAAGGACAGTACAGCTTCACTGCTGCTGACCAAGACTGTCATGTTGACGAGAAGCCTGACAACTGCAGAAAGACACTTTGTTACCAAGAAGCATTTTTCCGAACTTCACTTGTCCAGTACAACATCATTAAGCCACCATTGTAACATGTAGCAATTTCAATTTGAAATTACAATGGCTGGGAAAACAAAAATTCAAATACAGTATTATACCCGGCAGGTTTTTTTATTTGGAATAAAATCATTATTAAAATATTAAAAAATATATTAGCATATTTAGAGAGAGATAAAAACTATTGTAGCAAAACAAACACAACATCAAGTGAAAATATGCTATGGAATTTTTCTGAGTAACTAAGATAACGTGTTTCATTTATTTAAACTATCAGATTTAATTGCCAAGAACACTGCAGACAGTTTGAATTAGACTTACTTTTTCCAGCGAGCTCTGAAAGGGACTGAGGAGATCTGGACTCATGTTAATCTTAAAAGAAACTCATGGTATTCAGATGTTCCAAGAAAAGCTCACTTGTATTTTAAGTAAGCATCTGTACAAGGCAGCATACTGATTGGTTTTCATGCCTCTATCTTTGCTTCTATTGAATTTCAATAATGAAAACCAGCACATAAAAAGAAAAGAGTGTTTAAGGAATTCAGGTTAAGTTTTAAGATCTCACCTTCTCTCTTCGTATAATGTCTAAGAGCCTTCCTGGAGTGGCACATAGTATGTTACAGCCTTGCATGACCTGGCGAATTGAATGGCCTGTTTGTGTACCTCCATAGATCACAACAGGCCTTATGCAAGTTCTGTCATATGGGGGGAAGGGGGGAGAGACAAAAAAGAAAAAAAAGGAATTAATTATGTAATTATACAAACAGCACTGTTTCATGAAAACATGTAAAAAAAATAATCATCAAGTCTATCATAAACCAGCTTAGAGTGGTTCAATTCCTTCACCACACAGCACAGCTTATAACCAAAAGCAGGACCCGAGATTCACTCACTGTAAGTTCAAAGATCCCATTCATATTACGTAACAGAGGCTGCACAGGTGGCTTACTTGGAAAGAACACTTCATTTCACCTGCGTTCTTCCCTCCAACTGACTTACTGGCAGCAAGAGTCAAAATGGTGTTAGACATTGTCACCTTTTATACGGTATACTTAGAACAAGCAGAACCACCAAATACATGCCTTTAGTGCTTCAGAAGTAATCTGTCCATACCTTGAAATGACAGCACAGAAGAAAAAAATAATACACAGGTGGATCTTTGCAAAGCAACTAATCACACTCGCCACACAGCATGCCACTCAAGGATTAGAGTGCAAACCCATCAAATGCTAAATTACTTAGTGCTCTTTCTAATAAGATTTTTGGTTATGTCTATCCCATAGAGCTACATCAATTGGGCTTTTTTTCTGTAAAAGACCACCTCCACAAGCAAGGACTACGTTACACAGCTGAAGAGCAAGTTTACAAGCATATTATTATAAACTCCTGCTAAAGGTTTTACATGCATGCACTGCATACTTTCATATTCAAGTTCAAACAGTCTATTCTCGAAGATAATAATTCAGCTTCATATGCGACAACGGTGAATGAGATAAACACAGTACACTTTTATAAGGTTTAACTGGAACTTTCCAGAGGCTTTAGTCAAGAATAGAAACAGGCTGTACCCATAATATAGTAAAAAAATGTTTCTAGAAACACATTAGCAACAACAGGAGGGTTAAGAAAAATCTCCATCCTTTACTGGATGCAATATAGGGGGAAACGGTGACACCGTGACAAACGATGAGCAAAATTATGAGGTACTTGGAGCCTTCTTTGCCTCAGTCTTTACCAGTAAGACCGGTTGTTTTGGGTCCTGAGCTGGAAGGCAGGGAACAGAATGAATCCCCCATAATCCAACAGGTCTGCTGCACCACTTGGACACACACACAGGTCTATGAGACCAGATGGGATCCACCCAAGGGTACTGAGATTGCTGGCAGCAGTGCCTGCCAAGCCACTTTAAAGCATTTCCCAAAAGTCCTGGATAATCAAGTTGGTCCCAGTGGACTGAAGGTCAGCAAATGTGATTGCCCATTTACAAGAAGGGCTGGAAGGAGGATCCAGGGAATAACAGGACTGTCCGTGTGACATCAACACTTGGGAAGGCTGTGGAGCAGATCTGCTTGAGTGCCATCACACAGCATGCACAGGACAAACAGGGCTTCAGGCCCAGTCAGTATAGATTCATGAAAAGCAGGTCCTGCTTCATTACGCTTGTCTTCTATGACAAAGTGACCAGCTTAGTGGATGAGGGTGAATGTTGTTTACCCCGATTTTAGTAAAGGTTTTGACACCATTTCCCACAGCAAATTCCTGGAGAAACTGGCTGGACGAGCATACTCTTTGCTGGGTGAAAAACTGGCTGGATGGCTGGGTCCAAAGAGTGGTGGTGAGTGGAGTTAAGTTTAGCTAGCCGCCCGTCACAAGTCATGTTCCCCAGAGCTCAGGACTGGGGCCACTCCTGTTTAATATCTTTATCAATGATCTTGGTGAGGGGATCAAATGCACCCTCAGTAAGTTTGCAGATGACACCACGTTGGGCATCAGTGTGGATCTGCTTGAGTATAGGATGGCTCAGCAGAGGAATCTGGACAGGATGGCTAGATGGGCCAAGGCCAGTTATATGAGGTTCGACAAGGCCAAGTGCCGGGTCCTGCACCTGCGTCACAACAACCCCAGCCAATACTACAGGTTTGGTGAGGAGTGGCTGGAAAGTTGCCCAGTGAAAAGGACCTGGGAGTGCTGGTCAACAGCTGGCTGAATATGAGCCAGCAGCGTGCCCAGGGGGCCAAGAAGGCCAATAGCATCGTGGCCTGTATCAGGAATCATGTGGCCAGTAGGATCAGGGAAGCTACGGTCCCACTGTACTCAGCACTGGTGAGGCCACACTTCTAATCTTGTGTTCGGTTTTGGGCCCAACACTACAGGAAAGACATTGACTTGATGAGGAGCGATTGAGGGAGCTGGGTCTGTTCAGTTTGACAAAGAGGAGGCTGAGGGGGGACCTCATCATGCTCTACAATTACTTGAAAGGACACTGTAGAGAGGTTGGTGCTGGTCTCTTCTCACAGGTAATTAGGGAGAGAACCAGGGGGAATGGTTGCAAGTTGCAACAGGGCAGGTTTAGGCTGGACATTAGGAAGAAATTCTTCACGGAAAGATTGGGCATGCACTGGTTTTTTTTAGACTGCCTAGGGAGGTGGTTGAGTCGCCATCCCTGGATGTGTTCAAGTGTCGTTTAGATGTGGTGTTAGGTAATATGGTTTAGGGGTGACCTTGTAGTGTAGGGTTAATGGTTGGACTTGATGATCCCAAGGGTCTTTTCCAACCTGAATTGTTCTGTGATTCTGTAAGGTGCTGGAGCATGTCCAAAAAAGAGCAACAAAGGTGGTGAAGTCTTACGAGGAGCAACTGAGAAAATTGAGGTTGTTTAGCTTGGAGAAAAGGAGGCCGAAAGGAGACCTTATCACGCTCAGCAATTACCTGAGACTGTAGCAAGATGGGGGTTGATCTCTTTTCCCAAGTAACAAGTGATAGGACGAGGGACACGGTCTAAAGTTGTTCCACGGGAGGGTTACACAGAATCACAGTATCTCTTTGATTCAAAAAGACCTTTAAGATCATTAAGTCCAACCGTTAACAGAGGACTGCCAGGTCACTACTAAACGATGCCCCTAAGCACCAGATGAACACGTTGTTTAAATATCTCCAGGGATGGTGATTCCACCACTGCCCTGGGCAGCCTGTTCCAATCTCCAGTGACACTTTCAATTAAGAACTTTTTCCTCATATCCAGCCTAAACCTCCCCCAGCACAACTTGTACCCATTTCGGCTTGCTACTAGAGAGAAAAATCTGACATGCCCCCTCATCTTCAATCCCCTTTCAGGTAGTTGTAGAGAGTGATATGGTTTCCCCTCAGCCTCCTTTTCTCCAGGCTACACAGTCTTGGCTCTTTCAGCCACTCCTCATAGGACTTGTGTTCCAGACTCTTCACAAGCCCCATTGCCCTTTTCTGGATGTGCTCCAGCACTTCAATGTCCTGCCTGTAGTGAGGGGCCCAGAACTGACCAAAATATTCAAGGTACAGCCTCATCAGTGCTGAGTACAGGCGGATAATCACTTCGCAACTCCTGCTGGCAGAATATTTCTAATACAAACTAGGATGCCAGTGGCCTTCTTGGCCACCTGGGCACACTGCTGCCTCATATTCAGCCACCCAACAACCCCGGGGTATTTTCCAATATGCAGTCTTCAAACCACACATCCTCATGTCTGTAGAATTCTATAGGGTTGTTATGACCCAAGTGCACTTGGCCGTGCTGAACCTCACAGTTAGCTTTGACCCATTGATCCAGTCTGTCCAGATCCCTCTGTAGAGACTTCCCACTCTCCAGTAGATCAACACACCCACTTAACTTGGTGTCATCTGCAAACTCAGTGAGGGTGCACTTGATCCTCTCATCCAGATCAATGACAAAAAGCACATGGCCCAGTACTGAGACCTGGAGGACACCACTTGTGACCAGACACCAGGCAGATTTTACTTCATTCACTACCACTCTTCGGGCCCAGTCTTCCAGTCAGGGTTTTATTCAGAGCAGAATGTACTTACCCAAGCCTTAAGCAGGAAGTTTCTGAAGGAGAATGCTGTGGGAAACTGTGTTAAAGGCTTTGCTGAAGTCTACGTAGACAAGCCTGTAGTTTCCTGGATCCTCCTTCCAGCCCTTCTTGTAGCTGGCCATCACATTTGCTAATCTCCAGTCAACTGGTACCTCCCCGGTTAGCTAGAACTTCCGGTAAATGGGGAGTGGCATGGCAAGCACTTCTACCAGCTCCCTCAGTACCCCTGGGTGGATCTCATCCCACCCCACAGACTTGTGCACATCTAAGGGTCCCAACAGATCACTGATCATTTCCTCTTAGGTGGTGAGGGCTGCGTTCTGCTCCCCATCTGTATCTTCTAGCTCAGGGGGCTGAGCATTCAGGGAACAATTGACATTGCTGACAAAGACTGAGGCAAAGTAGGCATTTAGTAGATCAGCCTTTTCCTTGTCCTTGGTTACCAGGTTTCCCCCACCATACAGTAGAGGATGGAGATTTTCCTTAACTCTCCTTTCACTGTTGAGACATATTTATAGAAACATTTTTCATTATCTTTGATTGTGCTGGCTTAATTAAGTTCCAGTTGGACTTAGGCCTTTCTAACTTTCTCCCAATATCGCCTTCCAACATCTCTTCCCATGTTGCCTGCCCTTTCTTCCAGATACTTTCCTTTTCTTTCTGAGTTCCAGCCAAAGCTCTCCGTTTAGCCGGCCTGGACTCCTACCCCAGCAACTCATTTTAAGGCACACAGGGATGGCTTGCTCTTGTGCCTTGAAGATTTCTTGCTTAAGGATACCCCAAGCTTCCTGAACTACTTTGTCCTTCAGGACTGTATACCAAGGGACTCTGTCATCCCATGTCCTATAAAGAGCAAAGTATGCCCAGGACAAGATATCAGGAAAAATGTCTTCCCAGAAAGGGTTGTCAAGCATCAGAACAGGCTGCCCAAAGAAGTGGCTGAGTCTCTGTCCCTGTAGGTATTTAGAAGAAATGCTGATGTGGTGCTTAGGGACATAGTTTAGTGCTGGACCAGGCACTGCTAGGTTAAGGTTGAACTCAATCATAAAGGTCTTTTCCAACCTAAATGACTCCATGATTCTATCCAGGGGCTCACTGACAAGTTTTGACTTTTTATTCTGTTTTGAAGAGCTAAATAACCTTGCTTGAGCTGTGAAATTCCTGTCCAAGACCAGAAACACTGGAAGTATGGAGCTGTCAGAAACCATCGCTGAAAGTTAGCTAAAATAACCCTTTTGCCAAGATGAAAACAAAAGTATAAATTATCAAAGGGAAGCTGAGTTTAAGTTATTTCATTTAAGAAATTAGATTTTTCTCAGCAGTAAAGGCAGTGTGACAAGTTTAATACTTACATCTTCCTCAAGTTGGAGTATGCCTCTCCACATTCTACCGCCACACCCATACTGGGAAGATTAGGAGTTTAAATCCCTAGCATATAGTAAGAAATCTGCTAATCAGTATTTCCAACTAAATCCAAGTGTCTGTAGTAATTCGAGTGGCACAGAAAAATTTTTGGAAGATTCATGAAAATAAATGAAGCACTGCTGCCTCAAACAAAAGTAATAATCACTATCAGTCAACAGTGCAAAAGCTTACCCATACACAAATTTCCTTGCTTCTAGAAAGATCTGATTTATCAGTTCTCTAGTTGGGGCAATGATAATACACTCTGGCTCTTGAAGGTCTTTAAAGCTACTGCCAGTTACACCATCTCTCATCATATGGGCCACAACTGGTAGAAGAAAAGCTGCCTACAAAAGAAAAAAAAGAAAAAGAAAAAAAATCTGCAGTATTTATGCTGTTTAATCTAAAAGCTTTCATCAGTCACACTCAAAGCTATGCATGAATTTTAAGCTAGAATGATACAGCACACTATCAACGTCAAGGAAATTAGAATGCAAATGGATTGATCAAATGCATTACAGAACACTTAAGCTTATCTCTCTTTGGTTAAGAAGCATGAAAATATCTCTCTGGACCTTAAGAGTCTAACAACGTAGGAAAAAGAATCACGCAGTGGCTAACTTCTGGGTTCTTCAGGCAGTTCTACACATCACACTGACACATATTGATAATTATGTACCCCAGAATCAAAACCCTTCCTTAATATTTACTATGAAGCTTTACATTAACCTCAATAGATTTGTAAGTTAACCATGTATGACCATTCTCCAGACTACTACAATAACAGCTAACTAATATGCTACATAACAAAGTTACCATTCCATACTATACTGAACAGCAAAAAGCTATACTTAATACCCAAATATTCTCATACAGAGCTGTAAGTGGTTACATTTGGGTACGTTAAGACAGTTTACCATTAACTTAAAAACACCTCTCAACAGTATTTCATGATTCATCCCCTAAAACTAAGTCCAGGGCATATCAGATTTGGTACGAGCAGCACAACACAGTTTTAGAAAACGAAACCTACAAAACCACAAAAACCAAATACATATATCAAGCCACAAAAAAAATCCAGAAAAAAACAACTAAACAAACAAAAAAACCAACCCCACACTACATAGAAAGAAACCTCAGCTTTTCAACCAGTAACTTTTTTCTCATCATCAGATTCTAAGACTGCCTATGCTTCTAATTCTGTATCTGCAGCCCTGAAGACTGTCCTGCTGTATCAAGACACAAGTTTATTGAAACTAAAATTGAGCCCAAAAATGCAACAACCCATCCATCACTCACATCTGTGCTTAATACTACACCACTGCAGTGCCGAATCAAATCATTACAAAACAGGCTCTGAAGCATCTGACACATGGCAGACTGAGGCATCCATGTAAGAGTTCAAGGTCACACACATGCTTACAGTTTTTCCTGATCCCGTCTGGGCACATGCCATTAAATCCCGTCCTGCCAGTATAATAGGAATGCTGTACTTCTGCACTGGAGTAAGCTTGAAGTATCCAGCTCTAGTAATGTTATTATTTAAAGTGTGACAGAGGTTAGCTTCTTCAAAAGTCTGTAAGAGAAAAAATTATCAACAGTACACAACCACAGAAGTTCAAATTTTAAAACTGAGATGCTTACCACAGGATATAGACATCCAAACACTAAATCAGTAACTTTTGAGGGCATCTCACCAGTCATCTAGATTGCCAAGGTTCACGCAGATAAGAGCCATAAAGGTTTCTTCAACCTGATCATGCCATTCAAGTAAGGCTGTCTTGTAGGACAGTGAAGGCTTTCAGCTGTTCTTCTTAGCTTTGACAGAAAACTGTGCAGAAGCCACAGATTTGGATTCAAGCAGACAAATGCACATCATGGCCTGCTCTGAAAACAAACTGAAACTTTTAACTTTGTACAGGAGCTGGACAGTCTGTATGCCAAAACTAACAGGGGGAGCTAAAGCAACATGTCCAACCAGGACCATGTCATACATGAGAAAAGCAGTTAAACTTCACTGAGAAAACTTTTCAGAAGATGGATGAAGAAAACTGCATCTTCTCTTCCAACAGTTGTACTACCACACCCTCTGCCCTTCTTGCTCATTCCTCTCCCTAAAAAGATCCATTTATTTTTTTTCTTTTTTTAAACACTAGTCACCTGTATAGAAACAAAATTATATATTTGTTTTAAACAATAAACAACAGTCACAGAAAACAGGGCTGGAAGTTACTTCCAAAGCACCTCTCTGCCCAAATGACACCTATTCCAGCAGGTGTTCATTTACATTGCTAAAGATGCCCGAGTAACAGAATTCGACAAGTCTACTAGCCTTCCCGCATACTGTTGCTGAAAATCTCTTTCTTTCAAGATCTAACCAGCAATTTAAGGACTACACTTCCTGCCCATCCAGTACTACTTTCCCTGGCCCATTTCTGTAGTTTGTCGATGTAATTTTGAATTCAAATTTATGTCTTTCAAATGGACAGCATCACCTTCCAACATAGTACTGTCTGCAAGATTCAAAATCTTTATTAAAATTTTCATTAGCAGTGAATATTAGACTCAGTATACATCCTTGCAGAATCATGCTCAACATAAAGTCTGAGATTAATGGGTGCACTAACCTTTAATGGTGCTGGAGAGTCAAGTCCTGACACTTCAACACGGTTTTCATCGTACTTGTCAAAATTAATTCCTGTCTGATAACGTGCAAAGACGGCTTCTTCATCATCAGGTGGAGGAGGGGGCACGTAAGTCACCTTTGGACCTAAGGAACAAAAGCACTCAAGTTCATGAACAATATAATAATGTAACCTATTATAAGTATGGAGCTACTGAAGTTAATTCCAGTGGGATGTCATTTATATGTCTCTCCACTTTCCCGAAAGGCAAGAAATTTGAGAAATAAATTCCATTAGAACTTACTTTTATATTACTAGATGTAAAACTCACTTATAAATAAAGTCAAACTTTTGCAAATGCATTCTTGTCTCACATTTGCTCAAGGACAGTACTTTGAAGAGCTAGTCATGAAAATTAAATCAAATTAGACTCTACTTTACTACCACGCAAAAGCCAATTCTGGCACACTGCCACAGACAGCTATTTTCTTTTAGGAAAGACAGGCCAGCAAGGTGAGCTGGTGGAGTTGCTCTTTATCTGAGAGGGCAATTAGAATATATTGAGCTTTCCCTATGGGCAGATGAAGAGCAAGTTGAGAGCGTGTGGGTAAGGATTAAAGGGCAGGCTAATGAGAGACACTGTTGTAGATGTTTATCAGAGACCACCTCATCAGGATGAGGAGGCTGAGAAGGCTTTCTATAGACAGCTGGAAGTAGCCTCACAATCACAGGCCTCGGTTCTCCTGGGGGACTTCAATCACCTTCATGTCTGTTGGGAAAGCTACACGGCCAAGCATCTGCAGTTCAGGAGATTCCTTTGGTGTACTGATGATAACTTTTTTACTCAGGTGGTAGAGAAGCCGACAAGGAGAGGTGTGCTACTAGATATAGTACTGACAACAAAGGACTAGTGAGTGACATTAGGGTTGGGGCCAGCCTTGGCTATACTGATCATGAGAAGACAAGACTTCAGGATCATGTGTAGTATGCACAAAACAACCAAGTTACAACCTTGGACTTCAGGAGGGCTAATTCTGACGCCTTCAAGAAACTGCTTGGAGTAGTCCCATGGGTTAGGAGCCTAGAAGGTAGGGAGGCTCAAGAATGCTGGTTGATATCCAAGCCCCATTTTCTCCAAGCTTGAGATCAGTGCATCCCTAAGAGCAAGAAATCAGGCAAGAGAAGCAGGAGACCTGCATGGTTGAGCAGGGAGCTTCCGAAAAATCTCAAGTGGAAAAAGGAAATTTATGGTACACTGAAGAAGGGACTGACCACTTGGGAAGATTACAAGAATGCTGTCAGAGCATGCAGGGATGAGTCGAGGAAAGCCAAGGCCTCCTTGGAATTAAAACTGGGAAGGGGTGGCAAAGTCAACAGCAAGAGTTTTTTCAATTGCATCGGAGGCAAAAGGAAAATTAGAGAAAATGTGTGTCTGCTGTTGAATGAGACAGGTGCCCTGGTGACAGAGGATGCAGATAAGACATAGTTACTGAATGTCTTCTTTGCTTCAATCTTTACTGCTCAGGCCAGCCCCCAGGAGTCCGAGACTTCAGAGGTAACAAAGTCAGGAGGAAGGAAGACTTTCCCTTAGTTGAGGAGGATCAAGTTAGAGATCAGTTAGTAAACTGGATATCCACCAGTTCATGGGTCCACACAGGAGGCATCTGCAAGTGCTGAGGGAGCTGGCAGAAATCATTGCTGGGCCAGTCTCCGTCATCTCTGAAAGGTCCAGGGGATCAAGCAAGGTGCTTGAGGACTAGTGTCACAAAAAGTGCAAGAAAAAAAGTCTAAAAGAAGTGCAAGGGAAAAAAACACTACAGGCCAGTCAGCCTCACCTCCACCCCTGGAAAGATGATGGAACAGCTTGCTCTGGGCATCATCTCAGAGCATGTGGAGGAAAAGAAGGTTATTAGAAGTGAAGCCGTGGTTTTAGCTGGAGCCATAGTTATAGTCAGAACTGTAGTTTTAGCTGGTATGTAAAAGACCCAGGACGTTCTTACCAAACAGAATTAGTGGGACAATGGAGGTGTGAGACAGACATTCCACAAGCGGAGTTTATCCCCAAGGAAAGATGCTCTTATCTTCAAAGATGGAACACCTCAGGACTCCCAAGGGCCATTAAGATATGCAGAACCAGCCTAGGCCAGCCTTGAGGTCTCTTAATAAAGACAAGGAGTTAACTGAATGGAGCCCATCAACAGGACAGCCCGATGAAGACCACCATGATGAAGTAAAACGACCACCAGAGACTCTGACGACCACCGAAAGACTGTATTGAGCATGCGGGAGTAGATGGCAACATATGTTAATGAGTTCTTGGAAACTGCATGAATATGTATATCTAAACTGCCTAAAAGCTGTACATTTGGCCTTTCTCGGGGCACACACCAGGGGGAGCTATCCCAGGTGTGCCCAGTGCTGCAATAAAGAATATCTGCTCAATAGACATCAAGGCTATAAAGTTCTGATTTCGGCCTTTTCACAGCATCAGAAGTAGTCAACACGGATTCACCAAGGGGAAGTCATGTCTGACTAATCTCCTAGCCTTTTACCATGGCATGACTGGGTGGACAGATGAGGGGAGGGAAGTGGATGTTGTCTTCTTGACTCAGCAAGGCTTTTGACCATCTCCTACTGTACTCCCACAGGCAAGCTTAAGAAGTGTGGGTTAGACAAATGGACAGTGGGATCAATTGAAAACTGGCTGAAAGATAGAGCTCAGAGCTTTGTGGTTAGAGGCACAGAGTCTAGTTGGAGGTCTGCAACAAGTGTTCCTCACGGGTCAATACTGGGTCCAGTTCAATATACTCATCAATGACCTCGATGAAAGGACATAGTATACCCTCAGCAAGTTTGCTGATGACACAAAACTGGGAAGAGTGGCTGACACACCAGAAGGCTGTGCTGCCATTCACTGTGACCTGGTGTGGAATTAAGCCACTTTTGCCTAGACTTTAGTTCTAGCCACAAGGCAACCATCTTGGCTAAATCACTGCCCTAGGTGATCCTGCTTTGGCAGGAGGGTTAGACTAGATGATTTCTAGAAATCCCTTCCAACCCCAAACATCCTATGCTTCTGTGATTGCAGGAACATTTGACCCTCGAAAATTAACCTTTCTCACATCGTGTGATGCGGGATAATTGTCTAAAATTACTTAATCACCTATATAGCATTATTCACACATTGGAACATTGAGAGAGTTCCCAGAACAATGTGCAACCGGTATGAAGGGAACTCTCCCCACAAAGGTTTCCAAGGCAACCTTAAGGGTTGGTAGCATTAAGGGAGCTTGATGTTCTAACTAAGAGAAAACTACCTGGAGACATCAAGGAGCCAGTTAACTGCACGTTTACTATCCCGGGCCAAGAGTCTGTCATCTTTTATAGACACTGTCCTTTGTGTGAACTTTGCTCATTATAACCTCATTATAACACCAAAACACACCTCCACCCAAAAGCTACCCACCTCCAAGGTGTGACCACCCCTCACTGAGCTTGCACCCTGGATTTTTATAGTCTATACCTTAAAAAGCAAAGCAAGGAAAATTTACACCAGTCACAGCAAAGATATGCATGACTAGAGTCACTCAAGCTCCACCTGAAAGGTAACAAATAACATAAAAACAGCCCAAGAGAGGGGGAACTTTAGGGAAGATACCATCATTGTCAGGAGATACCACCACAGACCACTTCTGACTCCCGGGATCAGTCAATCGGCTGAGCCTCTCCTCCCTCCCCGTAGGGACACCTTTGGATAATGTCCGAACACTTGGTCTCACCAACAGCTGCCCCGGGTTACTAAGGAAATCTTTACAGAGTTGCTCATAATCTAATACAACTGTAACTTTTGTATGTGCTTTGCAGTCACTATCACCATCAATCAAAACAAATCTGTCTATCTGTTGCTTCAATAAACTGTATAAGATTTCGATCTGGCCATGTGAGTCCCTGTTAACACTGGCACATTGAGTTTGGTCATGTGAGTACGTCACCACGCTCGTGAAGGCTGGCCTTGTGAATCCAGGGCCATTGCCAAATTGAAGGCGCACTGGTGCACTGCGTTAGTAGTTTGGAATGCTAACGCTGAATCGGGCATCACTCAGAACCTAAGCCTAGCTGCCTAAGCCTAGTTGCCCTCAGCCCCTCTGATATCTGAGGAAAAGCTGGAATTCAAGGGGGTCTAGCTTCGGCCAAACTGATTTGCCCCTTTTTTGCAATAGAAATTGTTGCCTCTCTTGACACAACACCTGGACGTGCTGGAGAGTTGGGCAGAGAGAAACTAATTAAATTCAACTACGGCATCCTCCACCTAGGGAGGAATAACCTCAGGTATTGTCCTAGTTTTAGCTGAATGAAACCAGTTCTGTTCAGTGATTTTTAACTTTCTAGTTCAATCTCTTCTAAAAGGCTGCACTTTCTGAAGTCAGCAGCATGTTTGTGCAGACAGTGTGTGCTACTGGAAGTGATAACACCTGATGTTTACATTTACTGCCTGGGACTGGGATGCAGAAAGGCTCTTGTTTATACGTATTCCTATAGTGTCCAAGGCCACTGCTGGCTCTTGTGTGCCACGCTGGGGGTGCTGGGTAGTAAAGGGGGGTCACAAGGAAGTAAAAGGTTGCAGCTCTGGGGGCTAACAGACAGGACAGGTGACCAACAAGTGTATTCCATTCCATCTACATCATATTTAGGATAAATTGCGTGGTGACAAGAGTTTTTTCCCCTTCCTGCAGTGGCCAGCATCCAGGGAGGACTCTGTCTGATCTCCTGCTTTTGATCTGGATCCTGAGTTCCTGAATTCAGCTCCCTGTATCCAGCTCCCGCTGCTGCTCAGCCTGGGGCTTCCCCAGTGCCTCCTGCTCTGCAGCATCTGTGGGGATTGCTATAGGGGGGAAGTCGGGTTCGATATCAGGCTTATATATGGTTGTATGAAGTTCTTTATTTTTATCATTTCACTATTATTTCCATTACTGTATCATTAAAGCTGTTTTAGTTTTTCTTTTATACACTGTAAGCGTCTCTGCTTCATTCCATCACCCTTCCCATTTGGGATCCATGTTTCAGTGGCCAGCCCAGCCCTAACCCATGACATGTATGAGTGCAGGTTGGGGATCAAGTTACTGGAAAGCAGCTCTCTGGAAAAAGA